ATTTGGCCGGTGATGCCTTTGAATGGGTTAAAAAGTTGTCAGAGAAGATAACTGTCATTTAGTCAAACCTGTCGTAAACATGAATAGTTTGATTAAAGTCCATTTTTCTAATCTCTATTTAATGAACATTTATTGAGGACCTATTATGTACCAAGCAATATAGCTAACAGAGGTCCCTATCCTGGCACAGCTTAGCTTCCAATGGGCAGAGACGCAGGAAGACAAGTGAGCGAAAGTGGGAATTAGTGCTATGAGGGAGTAAGACGGGGTCATGTGACAGGGAGCGACTGGGGGTACTTTCAGCCGGGTGGTTATCCACTGTGGAGGGGACTGGCCTAAAGGTCGGTTGTGTCTGATCACTGTTCAAACCGGCCTTTGGAAGGAGATTAAGCAGGATAATGAGAGCTCTGGGCACAAGGTCAGAAGTTCTGAATTCGTTAACTAGCTTCGCATATGGTAACTGTGTGATCTTGGCCTTTCAGGGCTTCTGTTTCTTCAGTAAGTCCAAAATTAAGAGCTAGGATTCAGTGGAAAAGTTTTTTTTTTTTTTAGTTCTAACATTTAATATCCACATGAGGTTTTAAGAACCTATGCTATTAGGTTTTAAGAACACCTGGGCTTGGTAAGGTTGCCCATAGAAACTTAATCTTGTTGGCCATGAATGTATTCTTGTTAATGCTTAATGTTTCATTGCTTTATGATCCAGGGCTCTTCATCCTCACAAAAAGCTGGTGGAGATAAAGAAACTGAGGATTAAAGCAGCTAAGTAACAGACCCAGTTTCACATGGACAGTAAACATGGGGTCTATTGAGCAGGGCTTTAATGAGTGACAGCTGAATACGACTGGATCAAAACAGCCCTGCTCGAGTGACAAGATCTTCTTTTCTAAGGCTGAATACTATTCCCCCGTGTGTTTGCACATGCATAACCTGATATTTTCTTTATCCGCTCATTTGTTGATGGACACTTAGGTCGTTTCTATATCTTGGCTATTGTGAACAATGCCTCAGTGAACCCGAAGAAAATTCTGCCATTTGCAACAACATGGATTGCAAATGAACCTGGAGGACATTATGCTAAGTGAAATAAGCCAGACACAGAAAGACAAGGACTGCATGATATCACTTATATGTGGAACCTAAAAAAGTCAGACTTTTAAATGCAGAGACAACAGTGGCTCCCAGGGTTTGGGGATGTGGGGAATGAGGAAATGAGGAAATGTTGATCGAAGGGTAAAAGGTTTTAGAGATACAGGATGATTAAGTTCTGGGGATCAAATGGACAGCATGGTGACTACAGTCAATGCTGTATTGCGTATTTTAAATTTACTGAATATAAATCTCAATCGTTTTATTGTACATAAATTATGCCTTCATAACCTGACTGCCTCAACGAAAGTAGTAATGTATATTTGTGCGTGTGTTTTGGTTTTGAAATGTTTTGAGTGAATAGCTTTCTCTCGGAAAAACAACCCATTCTTCGGCAGTGTCTATTTTCTGAGGATGTCAAATGGGGTCAAAATGAATAACAGTTCCATCAAGAAGAATCTCTGTTACCCAGATCAGCTTGCTCAAGTTGGGAAGCCACGATAAAGAGTTTAGAAATGATAAATGAATAACCTTTCATGGCTGCAGTCCCTAGGACTCACTTCTGCTTTGTAATACATTATGAATCACTTCTATAATACATTATGCCTTTAGCATCATCACTTATTTCGACCATATATAGACTGCAAACTCTTTGAGGTCAGAGAAGCAAGTGGAGCCCAAAGCATGCAAGGTCACACAGGAAGCAGACTTTTCCTTCAGAGTACAAGTTATTCGAGGGCAGATATTAGGAGCAAATTTACTTGTAGCATCAAGCACAGTTCTTCTGAGGGCAAGAATACCCACTAAATCTCTAAGCAAATGTGGATATTTACCTTTCTGGGACACATGCTGACAAATTTCTTTGTATATTCCAATCTGAAGAACCAAGCCTTGTAAAAATATGAAACACCCCAGTCCAGAGTGAGGCAGAGGACTGAGTCAGGGGTTTCATCTTAGTCAAAGGGATGCACCAATTTACACATCTCCTTTTCTCTTTCCTGGCATACCTTCCTCATGAGTCATGAGCCCAGGCCCCCAGGGTTCTTCCAGGAATCACCATCAGTCCACTGGAGCTGGCATGTGTATGCAGGTCCTTTTGACTACAAGAAACAGAAGTGAAATCTAAATCGGCTTAAATAATTAACGAAAAGAAAAGTATTGGTTAATGTGACTTAAAAACCGAGCCTGTTCCAAGAGCAGGTTCCCAGAGGTGTCACCGTCTCTCGTCTCCGCTTCCCTCCCTTCCTCCTCCGTTCGGAAGCTTATGCGGGTTCGGGCGTGGTGACCAGCAACTTCACATCTTAACATTCCTCCTCCAACAGGTTGGATTGTGATAGCAAAGGGAACATCTTACTTCCCGACGCTTTGCACAAAAACCCTGGGCCTGGCGATCACTGCGACGGGGTAGAATCCACTGCTGGGCCAGCCTGGGACGCCTGGACCCAGGGATGAAGCACACAGTCTGGGGACCATGGGAAGGGGCAGGAAACTCCCCAAATAGGAAAGCAGAATGCTGTTACCGGAAGGGGAATACTCACTTCGGTGAGATGAAACCAGTGTTTCTTACCTCATCAAAAGTCTGATTATTCAGAGCAGTTTAGCTCCCGGGTCTGCGAAGTGGCGGGAGGGGAGCTGCGTTTGTGTCTTGTAACATCTAACCGGGTAAACTGAGTCCGGGGATTCAGCGTGTGTCTCAGAGGCTGCTCCCAGCCCGGTGAGTTTGTTCTTGGTGCTCCGTGCCCTCTGCCTCCTTTCGGGTCATCTTCCACTCGGGATCTGGCTTGTCTCCTCCTCCGCTGTATCCCAGGCCATAGTCGTCCTCAAGGCCCAGGTGACCTTTTTCTGCAGAGGCAAGGTGGGAGCTTCTCAGAGGAAACTCTTCCTAAAAAAGGCAAGTGGCAAGTTTTTTAAAAAGGGAACAAATGAACCGAATTAAAACAAAATACAATATAGTACTCGAAATGCCTTAACAGGACATATATTATAGAGCATGTAATTTAGTTCAAGTTAAGTAAAGCCAAGTCATAGATTAGATCCCAGAGTGTCAGAGCAGACCTTTAAAAGTCCCCTGGTTCACCCTCATTATCCTCTACATGGGGGCACTGAGGCCCTGGGGAGGGAACAGCTTCCCTAAAGTTAACGTCAACATCAATGCCAATGTCAGAGCTGGCCCAGCACCAACATCTTCTCCTCATCCATCTCTGTTTGCAGGTACGATGTTTCTGCAATGATCCTTCGTGTGGCCCACACATGTTGAAATAACTCTTTCTAATTTAAAAAAAAAAAAATTTAAGCAATTTATATGAACAGATAATGCATTCTCATAGTTCCCAAATCAAAAATTCATTTATTTATTTTTATTATTTATGCCTACAACACCTGGTCTTCCTAGGTGGTCTCCCACGCAAGTACTAACCAGGCCTAACCCTGCTTAGCTTCCAAGATCAGACATCAGACTTATTCAGGGCGGCATGGCCATAGACCACAGACTGTGGCTCCACTGGGGTGTGAACCCAGGACCTTCCGCGTGTAAAGCAGATGCGCTACACTATGGAACCACATCTCTCAAATCAAAAATTTAAGAGGGAATGGCATAAACAGCCTTCCTCTCTCCCCTGTCCCCTTTACTCTATTCATAGGCAACACTTTTTAATAGTTTTTTTTTGTGTGTGTATTCTCCCAGGAACATTTCCTGCATATACAAACAATTTAACGACGTTCTCATTTTCCACTTTTCAAACGCAAATGATAGCATACTATAGACTTAGCTTTGCATTTTGCTTTTTCCACTATAGTAATTTACCTTGGAAAACTTTCCATATAGTATACAAAGAGCATCCTCGTTTATCTTCACAGCGATTTCGATGATTTCCAACATTTGGCTATTATAAACAACACTGCAACAAATAACTTTATATATATGCCATTTCATGTGTTTATGATTATCCATGTAAGATAAATTTCACAAAAATGAAACAGCAGGATCGAAGGGCATTTGCGTTTGTTGTTTTGATGGATGTTGCTGGATTGACCTCCACAATGCCATGTCAGCGTAGACTCCTGTCATATCTGACGTGCCTCTTTCTCCAGGTCCTCCCCAACATGTCCTGTCCCCAAATGTTCCATCTTTGCATGTTTGATGTAGTGAGATGGTATCTCAGCATTTTTCAATTCAAACTATAGAAATATAAACATTAATAATTGAATCTCCCTTCCTCATTTTTTTCTGAATCTCATTTCCAGGGTAATTCCTATTATTGCTCTGATGATAGTGATCTCATCAGGTATAATTTGCATCTTTTCTTCTCACAAATGCCGTTATGCAGAATGTACAATTCTGCCTCATTCATTCATACAACAGATATTTCCTGAGCACTTAACAGATTTTAGGCCCTAGAGATAAAACCCTAAACAGGACAAACACATTCCGTCTCATGGGGCTTATATTCATGGGAAGACATTTAAAAATGGAGAAACAACTAGACTATCATTTAGGAGAATGTTAAGTGCCCTGAAGAATAACACAGGGTGACGTCATAGAGGGAACTGAGGTAGGGACAGAATGACCTGCCCCTCCCTTGCCTCCCCAGGGTCACTAGGATGGCATGTAAAGCGACCAAAGTGCTTTCACACACTTACTATGAATAGCAGTAATTTTTTATTATTTATTAGTTTTGGCCCGAACCAATCTGTTGCTTTGGTATTATGTAGACAGAACTTCCGGATCGCCATTAAGACTGCTCCAGAGGTTCTGAGCTAGTGGCAGAAAAAGCCATTTCAGTTCCCTAAGTGAGCTGGTGCCAGAAATCCAGATATCAGTCTAATTCTCAAGGACACAGCCAGGACTTAGTTAAGAGGAAATCAACTCCCTTTCATCAAACTCAAAAACAACTCGCTGTGTCTTACAGGTTTGGAAAATCCCATTTGGATTTGAGATCCAGCCCAGTTGCATGACGCGGATTAGGCAGTAGAAAGTACCCTGCTCAGAGGACCAGGTCAAAGGAGCTGTGCGCCTCTTGTGTCTGTGACTTAGGACTAGACCGAGTGGTGGACCTAAAGACTTCTGGACAGGTAGCTTGATTCGAAGCATAGAGTCAGCTTGCTGCAGTTCTGACTCTGACCTTAGCCGTGCGTCGTGGTGTCCCTTTTGGAAGCCGACCGGAACCCCATCTTGCACTTCGGTCTGATATAAGTCTCGTATCTTTGTACTTAGGTTCCAGCTTCTCCCGGACAGGGACCTTGCTTAGCTCCTGCATATCTCTCCTTGAGGCCAGTCATGGTCTTGTTACCTGCTCTGAGGCCTCCCAGAGAATTCTCTGGCCAATGCCTGCTGCCAGGTGTGCAGTTCCATGTCCCCAAGACCTGGAAAGTACTGGACTTCATCTTGCTGGACTTTCATCAGACTGCTCTCTCTCTGGCCAGCATCCGTCCCTGCATTTCCTTAGGTGTCATTCCGCCACCTTCAGCTTTCCACCCACGCCATGGCCAGAGTGAGGCTAGATGAGAATAGTGGCTTCCAGCCAGATTTAGGAGGGGAACTTCTTTTACTCATGGCCTTTAAGTGGAATCCTTAAACAGCAAGCAGGAAAAAAAAAGAGCTTACTTAGTCTAATTAAATCTTCCGTAAGAGAAACACATCATTGTTTGCTGAATCCAGGAAGCACCGAAGAACTCCAGAATTCTTCAGAATTTAGTTCAAAATTCTGGACCATGTGATCTAGTCTATCCCTTTCTATTTTCTTTGTAGCCCAGAAAACTAAGGGGCTTGCTAAGGTCACACAGTGAGACTGGTAGAATGCAGCCTCTAATATGTGTTTCCCCCAAACAGAATGTTAATTCTACCTTCGAGAGGATACAGACCTTCCTTGCCAGGCGTCACTCCTGTATCCTCGGTGTATAGGGCAAGGCCTGACACGGGCAGGTACTTTAGTGAATGAATGAACAAGTTTTGTTGAGGAGCCTTTTTTATGCCAGTCTCACTGCCCTTAGCTCTGAGAATGGAACAGAGAAGAAGGCCGACCAATTACGTTCCCTCTTTCACAGAGCTTAGAGATAAACAAGGACTTGGACCCGAAACAATTATGACAGGAGGTTAATGAAATAATTACAACTATCTGGACCCTTACCGACAAGAGGGCAGGGGCCGGGCAGGCCTCAGAGCTGCCCACTGGAGTAAGGTTGGGGGTTGGGGGAGAATGGAGGTAGGTCAACCCCCAGGTCCACCTGTTCCCTCCTAATGCCTTGTCTTGCTTAAGAGAGCTGGGCTCTGTCATCTCTGTCATCTGTCTAAGGGTGTGGCTGAGGCCTGCCTGAGGGAAGGCAGTGACCTCAGTTGCTCAGCTGCAGGAGTCCTGCCAGGCTCTGTCACACCTATAGCGAAGCTGTCTCTGTTTGGAGTCCTGGGTCAGGCAGGGACAGGGCAGGTAACAAGTCTCCACCCATCAGCTGTATATTCTCTTCCCTAAGCCCTCCCACGCTGTCAGCTTCAGTCCAAGATGTTCTTTCTGCCTGGGGTGGCCACTTCTGCTTTTTGCTGCCTGTCAAAATTCTTTCCACCCTTCAAGGTGAAGTTTAAATACTACCTCCTTCAGAGAACCTGCCCTGATTACCACCCCCAGTTGCTCATCCAGGAGGAAGTGGTGACTCCCTCTTCTGGCTTCACATAGTGCCCAGACTCTCTGTCCGTTTTTGCAAGCACAGAAGCAAATTATGAGTTCCTTGGGGGTGTTAGACCCTTCATCCGTTCATTCCATAGCTATTTATTGAGCACCTGCTATGGGCTGGGGGTTGTAGGCAAGATCTCTGCTTTCATAAAGTTTGCTTTCTGATAGGAGAATCAGAAAAAAAGCCAATAAACAAATGAAATATTTTCAGGTTGATGAGGGCTGATACAAAAAAAATGCACGATAGAGAGTTTTGGGATAGGGTGTGTGTACACCAGGTTAGACAAGTCAATCAGGGACAGCCGCTGAGAAGGTGAAATTTGAGCTGAGGTATGAATGACAAGAAGCAGCCAGCTATGGAAAGAGCTGGAGGAAGAAAAGGGCATTCCAGGTTGAGGGGAGGGCAGGTGCCAAGACCCTGAGGCAAGAAAGCGCTGGGTGTGTTTGCAAAACAGAAAAAAGGCCAGTGTTGTTGAAATGACTGTGTGTGTGTTGAGAGGGGGCCAAAGAAGGGGGTCAGCGAGGTGGCATGACCCGGGTCAGATCCAGCCTTGTGGGCCACCGTGAGCCTCGTGGGCTCTCCTCAGTGTAGGAAGACACTGGACAGTGCTAAGCAGGGGAGAGGTGAGACCTGACTGATGTTCATTCATTCATTTATTTGGTGATGCCTCATGCTTCCTTTGTGACGGACACAGAACTAGGTGCTGAGAACACAAGGACTGGAGATGCGCCTGCCCTCTAGATGTGTATGTGAAGTGGAGGTGCCTCCCCTGGATAGTCATTCCACGTGCAAGGTCTGCTTTTCCTCGTTGCTGATTCAGATATTTTATATGTCGGGTTCCTCTCACCCGTTGTTGTTGAGAGCGGGCTCTGTGAGCTCCTGCTGCATTGCTGGGAGCATGTGAGAAATGCAGACTCTGGGGCTCCACTCCGGACCAACAGAATCAAAATCTGTATCTCCAGTTGGATTTGTATTCGCGTTAGACTTGGAGAAGGACTGCTCTGGAAGTAATCAAGGTATGGAGTAATAGACTCTTACTAACCAAGCTGAGAAAGCAGTAATGAGTCAGGTGCCAGTTCAGCAATGAATAGTGGGGGCTAACAACCCCTTACATCAGTGCTTCTTAAAACTTTGAAGTGCGTACACATCACCTGGGAGTCTTGTTAAAATGCAGATTCTATTCAATTAGTTTAGAGTGGGACCCCAAGTTCTGCGTTTCTAACAAGCTTTAAGGTGATGTTTACGTTGCTGGCCTAAGGAACACAAAGCCTTGTGTGGCACTCGGCACGTTAGTCCACTTGATTTTCATGGTCGCCCTGTCGTGAGATGTTTATTTACATTATATGGAGCAGGAAACAGACTTTATAGAGCTTAGAATCGAGCTGTGGAGCCTCAACTTGTTTTTCTCATCTGCAAAATGAGGTTGATGATACTACTGCCTACATCGGAGAATTTCTTGGAAGAGTAAATGAAACAAAGCATGTCATGTGCTGAACATAATGCTTGGCACATAGCAAGGGCTCAACACTTGGCAGCTTTTAAAAAATTTTTCTGGGACTCGAGTCTAGCTTTTCTGACTCCAAAGCTGGGGTTCTCTCTCTCAGGTTAGTAGAAACTAGAAATTGGCTCAGTGAGCAGGTGAGGTTAGGAATTAAAATATTTAGCAACAATTGAATATGGATGGAGTCGGCTGGTGGAGTTGAGGATATTCGTGCATTTGGAGCTGCTTACCCATTAGAAACTCCCCCTTTTCAGCCTGTGCTGGAGATACACAAACATACCTTTTGGTCTCTTCTTTTTTCCCCAATCCTAGACTACATGCTCACGACCTGTCCTGACAATAGCCATGACCTCGAACTTGTCACAGTTCAATTGCAAAGATCTCAGCATGCTGTCCTCTTTCAGGCATGGATTCTTAAGGAGCTGTCCCAGTCCCCAGCTGGCCTCAAGCAAGACTTCCATGGCCACACGTCCATTCAAACAAAGAAGCCATCTCCAAGAGCAGATCATGGTCTCAGTCGCTAACCACTCAGCTTCTGTTTTAGATAGTGACATTTCTAAAATTCCTCCAAATCCTGGAGATGTACTGTCAATCATTCCTTAATAAAAATAATCGGTATCCCGCTCAATAATTTATAAGCACTTCGTTTTAGTTCATCACCTTTTAAAGGTCATAGGATGAATAGTATACAATTTGAAAATGAGAATATTAAAGAGGTTAAGTAATTTGTCCATTATCACTTGTAGGGTAACCGCTTTTCAGTTCTGAGTTCATTTATTCAACCAATATTTATGGAGCAGCCAGTATGAACAGGTCCTATGCTGGGCCCTGAGAATACAACACTGAGAAAAATAGGCGTGTCCTTGCCTTCCTGGAGCTCTCATTCCAGTGAGAGAGACCCACGTCAAACCAATAATCATGCCGACAAATGCATTACTGCCGCTGTGATAAGAGCTATGGAGAGAGGTAGATGTCACGGCAAGACATCTTAACAGAGGAGGCTCTGTCTTGGCCACCCTTTCATGCAAAGCCAGGAAGCCCTCTCCAGTCCTAGGGAACAAGAGGCAGTAAGACCCAGGCTCGTCGGCCTGCCTGGGTTCGTAATCCTGGCTCTGCCACTTAGCAGATTCTAGGCAAGTCACTTCTCTTTTCTTCTTCATTTCTTCTGCCACGTGGGGAAGAGAAGGTCTCCCCGAAGGCGGCTGTGAGGGTTCAACAAGATAATGGCTATGAGGTGCTGCACCCGGTCCATGGCTGGCGCACAGCGAGTGTTTAAAAGTAGTAGTGATAGCTTCATAAGGGTGCTGGCAGAGCCTGCGTGGTTTCAGAGCATGAACTCTGATTCTCCGACTCGTCTAGGTGGAAGATCTCTTGTGAAATGTGCTAGCTGCCTCCTTCAGGCTTAGCTGATGTGAGCCCTTATCACTGTCCTAGAGAAAAATAAATAAATGAAAGCTCCTCAGGTTGGCATCCAAAGATTATTACCCTCTCTACTTTTTCAGCCTCTGTTTGGATGTTTGGATCCCATTCTGGCCGAGATTAACATGTTATTTGGGAGAAATAGACAATATGCCACATACAAATAAATAAACAAGATAATGTCAGATTGTGAAACATGCCTCCAAGGGGGCAGAGGTAATGTGCTAGAGACTGTCGGGGTGTCTGTGGGCAGCTGCAGGGGATGATGAGGTGGCTGGGGAAGACCTCTGTGAGGGGTATTTAAGCCGGGGCTGACTGAGGGTAAGGAGCTGGCCAAGTGAAGGGCCAGGGCAAGATCCTTCCAGGCAGTGGGAAGAGAGGGGCGACCATGAACAGAACGAAGCGGAGGGAGGAGACGAGCATGCTGTGAGCGGGCGAGGGAAGGCGGGCAGGGGCTAGGTCAGCCTGGCTCTCTCCGACTCCCACCGTGCTGTGGTAATCACTCTGTGAAGTCCTTTCCATGTTGGGGCGGGCTTGGGGACCGAGGTCTTTCATGTCTGCAGTCCCAGAACAGGGTCTGGTTCCTAGTCAGGACCCAGGAACTATTGATCGAACGAGGACCAATTTGAGACAGGGATGGAGAGCCTGGGAATGGAGTCCGGGTGACGTGGCACGTCTGAGGCAGTCTTTGATGAATCAGCACCCTCGGTACACTTCCCCCCAACTCATTCTGGTAGTAACTGGGCCTTTGCCCAAATGCGAAAACAGCTGCAGAAGAAGCCTTGCCTCTGGATGAGAAAAACATAAATCATCATCTCTCCCAGGTGGAGGCAGAGCTGAACGGGATGTGTTCTGGAAACAAACATGAGTGGTTGATCAAGACCTAATCAATTTCAAAATAGAAACTGGAACTGAGTACAAATGACATAAGAGGAAGCACAGAGGCACGGCCTTCCCAGAAAATCAAATAGGCCGGCAGACAATGAGCTTTGACAAAGAGGGAAACTGACAGCTGAGCACGATAACTAGGAAGAAGTCAGACCCAACTGGGATGAGCCAGTGCCCAGGAATGAGGGTCTGAGTCATCACTAAATGGAGCCTCAGCCACACTCAGCTTTTCCTGACTGCCTAGTGAAAACCATTTGCTCAAATCCTGTTCTATTTCAAAACATCACC